AACCGTTCGTATAACTCTGATACACATCGTTACCCATACCCTGAGAACTCTCAGTGATGCTTTTCAGTGTTAACTGTTTTAATAATGTAGAGAAAACTAGATTGTTTTCTTCAAGGAGTGCCGGACTAATCGGGCTGTGGGCCTGCGGGCCGCTCCAAGCAACAGCCTGGTGGACCAAACTCTCACAAGTCAAGCCTGGCCTCGGGCCGCTCCAAGCAACAGCCTGGTGGACCAAACTCTCACAAGTCAAGCCTGGCCTGCGGGCCGCTCCAAGCAACAGCCTGGTGGACCAAACTCTTACAAGTCAAGCCTGGCCTGCGGGCCGCTCCAAGCAACAGCCTGGTGGACCAAACTCTCACAAGTCAAGCCTGGCCTCGGGCCGCTCCAAGCAACAGCCTGGTGGACCAAACTCTCACAAGTCAAGCCTGGCCTCGGGCCGCTCCAAGCAACAGCCTGGTGGACCAAACTCTCACAAGTCAAGCCTGGCCTCGGGCCGCTCCAAGCAACAGCCTGGTGGACCAAACTCTCACAAGTCAAGCCTGGCCTCGGGCCGCTCCAAGCAACAGCCTGGTGGACCAAACTCTCACAAGTCAAGCCTGGCCTCGGGCCGGGCTTGGGGAGTAGAAGAACTCCCAGAACCCCATCAACCAGGTATGAAGCAGGAATGATCGCTGATGGAGTGATATTCTTGAGGAAGGGAGACCCAGCATGATGCTGTTGATGGCTGAGCGTTTTGTGTTGTTGTTGCCATTTTCTGTGCGGCTACCAAGTTGGGTCAGGTGGATAACCTTGAAAATATTGCTCTGAGTGTATACATAACAGTAAGTCCACCTACTGTCCCCGACCGTCCAAGTGGCTGGGCACCATTCCTTATCACCCCTCCCCCCATCCCATCCCAAATCCTTATCCTAACCCCTTCCCAGTGCTATGTAGTCATAATGGCTTGGATTTTTCCCTGATAATCCACCCCCCATCTCCCTCTTCCTCTCTCAATATTTACCAATTCTCACCACACACACACACACACACACACACATATTAATAACAAAATTTATTAAAACACAAATATATACAATGGCTTTTACATGCAGTGTTTTACATTTTTCTGTTTTATGAACAGCTAATTTAACAAATTATTTTTTTTTTATAAACCTTACGACATATTGAACTAGATCCTTCTCACTGGGTGAGGACACCAGACACATCCTTGACACTGTCCAAATAGTCCTCTGTTCCCTCCTTGTCTTTAAATATCTGTTCCATAGGCATCTTCGACCCGTCTCTCCCAAGTCCACACTGGGGGCACTTTGCTTCATACCGATCAATTCTCTTGCGATCTTGGTTATAGGCGGAATCCGTGGTGGTGTCCCTGGTGTGGTCCTGTAGGCGGCGTAGCAGGTTGGGGAGGGATGGACGATATTCCTGGTTGGAGTGCGTAGCTTCCTGGAACATCTGAATTAGTAGAGGATGTTTCGTACCTGTCACCTCAAGGATCTTTTGCATTAGCCGGCCGTATGCAAATACATCAGAGGCGAAGGTACTGGGTTGACCAGCCAGGAGTTCGGGGGCATGGAATGGGTAATTCTCGGGGTCACCACCTTCCATGGAGATATTTTCTCCGCTCTTGCAAGAGAGCCCGAAATCAATCACACTAATTTTTGGCCTATGGGGTACGCCTTGAATCATTACATTATCAGATTTGATGTCATTGTGAACATAGCCCTTGGCATGAATCTATAATAGTTGTATGCCAACCTGGAGCCCGATCTTAATAAAATCATACTGTTCATTGCACAAAATCTTGTCTAGGTTGTTGCTTCCTTTATATGTCGTCAGAAGAGCTTGGGGGTCGTGTGACACCCCCAGTAGGAGGGGAGCGCCCCCAGCCCCCTTCAGCTCCGACAAGACACGGGCTTCCCGCAGGAAACTGATAAATGCCTTAGCACCATTAGCTACCTTAAGAGCAGCTGACTCGCCATGCCAATCAACAAGAGACACCGTCCCATAAGCTCCGGATCCCAGTGTTCCTAGCTTCTATCTCAGGAGCTGCGCCACGTCGTCTGACCCAAGACGCTCCATTTTGCCAGACTAACTAGTCACATGGCCAGCTAGTTAAGCAGGTGTTAATATCCTAGATGCCAGACAATATAGTCAAGAGGATCACCAGGGCTGGCCAGAGGGGCAGGGAAGGGAAAATGTTCATGGTCCTCACACCATTTTGATCACCCGTCAACTTCTCTTAGCAACACCGTACACATTATTGACAGGACTTTATCCTCAACTTGTCAAGTGCAGTTTGACGGCGACTGTCAAGATGATTATTAACTGAGGTGGTAACTCAACAGTGACAGTTACATAAGGGTGGTAATAGTGACACAGTTTACATAAGGGTGGTAATAGTGACACAGTTACATAAGGGTGGTAATAGTGACACAGTTTACATAAGGGTGGTAATAGTGACACAGTTTACATAAGGGTGGTAATAGTGACAGTTACATAAGGGTGGTAATAGTGACACAGTTTACATAAGGGTGGTAATAGTGACACAGTTTACATAAGGGTGGTAATAGTGACAGTTACATAAGGGTGGTAATAGTGACACAGTTTACATAAGGGTGGTAATAGTGACACAGTTTACATAAGGGTGGTAATAGTGACACAGTTTACATAAGGGTGATAATAGTGACACAGTTTACATAAGGGTGAGTTAGTGTGATAGTAATTGTGTAAGTAAAAAGGTTTATGAGTGTATATATAGTCAAGATTATTATACTGACAGTGTGGTAGTGATGGTGAGTAGTGTGGTAGTGATGGTGAGTAGTGTGGTAGTGATGGTGAGTAGTGTGGTAGTGATGGTGAGTAGTGTGGTAGTGATGGTGAGTAGTGTGGTAGTGATGGTGAGTAGTGTGGTAGTGATGGTGAGTAGTGTGGTAGTGATGGTGAGTAGTGTGGTAGTGTTGGTGAGTAGTGTGGTAGTGATGGTGAGTAGTGTGGTAGTGATGGTGAGTAGTGTGGTAGTGTTGGTGAGTAGTGTGGTAGTGATGGTGTTGGTGAGTAGTGTGGTAGTGATGGTGAGTAGTGTGGTAGTGATGGTGGTGGTGAGTAGTGTGGTAGTGTTGGTGAGTAGTGTGGTAGTGATGGTGTTGGTGAGTAGTGTGGTAGTGATGGTGAGTAGTGTGGTAGTGATGGTGTTGGTGAGTAGTGTGGTAGTGTTGGTGAGTAGTGTGGTAGTGATGGTGTTGGTGAGTAGTGTGGTAGTGATGGTTGATACCTGGTTGATGGGGTTCTGGGAGTTCTTCTACTCCCCAAGCCCGGCCCGAGGCCAGGCTTGACTTGTGAGAGTTTGGTCCACCAGGCTGTTGCTTGGAGCGGCCCGAGGCCAGGCTTGACTTGTGAGAGTTTGGTCCACCAGGCTGTTGCTTGGAGCGGCCCGAGGCCAGGCTTGACTTGTGAGAGTTTGGTCCACCAGACTGTTGCTTGGAGCGGCCCGAGGCCAGGCTTGACTTGTGAGAGTTTGGTCCACCAGGCTGTTGCTTGGAGCGGCCCGCAGGCCAGGCTTGACTTGTGAGAGTTTGGTCCACCAGGCTGTTGCTTGGAGCGGCCCGCAGGCCAGGCTTGACTTGTGAGAGTTTGGTCCACCAGGCTGTTGCTTGGAGTGGCCCGCAGGCCAGGCTTGACTTGTGAGAGTTTGGTCCACCAGGCTGTTGCTTGGAGCGGCCCGCAGGCCAGGCTTGACTTGTGAGAGTTTGGTCCACCAGGCTGTTGCTTGGAGCGGCCCGCAGGCCCACATATCCACCACAGCCCGGTTGGTCCGGCACTCCTTGGAGAAAACTATCTAGTTTTCTCTTGAAGATGTCCACGGTTGTTCCGGCAATATTTCTTATGCTCGCTGGGAGGACGTTGAACAACCGCGGACCTCTGATGTTTATACAGTGTTCTCTGATTGTGCCTATGGCACCTCTGCTCTTCACTGGTTCTATTCTACATTTTCTTCCATATCGTTCACTCCAGTACGTTGTTATTTTACTGTGTAGATTTGGGACCTGTCCCTCTAGTATTTTCCATGTGTATATTATTTGGTATCTCTCTCGTCTCCTTTCTTGTGAGTACATTTGGAGAGCTTTGAGACGATCCCAATAATTTAGGTGCTTTATCGCGTCTATGCGTGCCGTATATGTTCTCTGTATTCCCTCTATTTCAGCAATCTCTCCTGCTCTGAAGGGGGAAGTGAGTACTGAGCAGTACTCAAGACGGGACAACACAAGTGACTTGAAGAGTACAACCATTGTGATGGGATCCCTGGATTTGAAAGTTCTCTTAATCCATCCTATCATTTTTCTGGCTGACGCAATATTTGCTTGGTTATGCTCCCTAAACGTTAGGTCGTCAGTCATCATTATTCCCAAATCCTTTACATGCTGTTTTCCTACTATGGGTACATTTGATAGTGTTTTGTTCTCTGTATTATGTTTAAGGTCCTCATTTTTACCGTACCTGAGTACCTGGAATTTATCACTGTTAAACATCATGTTATTTTCTGCTGCTCAGTCGAAAACTTTGTTAATATCAGCTTGAAGTTTTTCAATGTCTTCAGCAGAGGTAATTTGCATGCTGATTTTTGTGTCATCTGCAAAGGATGACACGAAGCTGTGACGTATTTTTGTCTATACCTGATATGAGAATAAGGAACAGCAGTGGTGACCTGCGTAAGGAATCATTCAGAATCTTGTATACCACATATGTAAGACCAATCCTGGAGTATGCAGCCCCAGCATGGAGCCCGTACCTCGTCAAGCACAAGACGAAGCTGGAAAAAGTTCAGAAGTATGCCACTAGACTAGTCCCAGAACTAGGAGGCATGAGTTACAAGGAAAAACTGCATGAAATTCACCTCAAGACACTAGAAGCCAGAAGAGTAAGGGGAGACATGATCACAACCTACAAAATTCTCAGAGGAATTGACAGGTTAGATAAACTGGCGTAGAGGGTAGAAGACTCACCTGGTCCCCTGCCGCTTGCTGTTGTCGTCCATCATGTCTCTCGCGTCTCATTGGTTGCTGCTCTCTGCAATATACCAAAAAATCTGTTATTGCAAAACCTGATCCAATCCTAACAACACACATTTTACTATTTAAACATTACCTACAGAGCCTAGTAAGCTACGCCATGCATTAATAATCAGATCATACAGGTTAGAAACCCTTAGGTCATGAGTCTATGCTCATGTATACATTTTGTATGTGTTGTATCTTGTGTCAGTCAGACCGAAGCCAGCTAGTGAGGGGACAGAGACAGGGACGGGAGACAGAGGCAGGGACGGGGGGACAGAGGCAGGGACGGGGACAGAGGCAGGGACGGGGGACAGAGGCAGGGACGGGGGACAGAGGCAGGGACGGGAGACAGAGACAGGGACGGGAGACAGAGACAGAGACAGGGACGGGGGACAGGGACGGGGGACAGAGACAGGGACGGGGGACAGAGACAGGGACGGGGGACAGAGACAGGAGACAGCATCCAGGAACCTCTCATACAGTGACAGATGCTCTCATCTCCACCACATGTCCTCCCACCATCACGGTCTCCTGGGGCTCCTCGCTGCCTTTCCTCCAACTCATGTCCTCTGCCCTCCCCTCTTTTGTTCCCCTTGTCTGGCCTTTCCCCTCCCTCTCCCTCTCGTGCACAGCTGGGGTAAGCGGGTGACCCACTAACCCGGACAGGAATCCGTCCGGACAGGAATGACAGGAATCCATCAAAGCAGAGTGTAAGAATTGAGTGGATTCCTAAAGCACTACAAACACTTGGCCATAGATTATACACCCTTCTCTCTTCGACAAGCACTTATACTATCCACCCTATAAGTAGTTTTCCCTGTGACTGGCACTTGGGGCCAGATTCACGAAGCAGTTACGTTGTAACACTGTAAAAGTGTTTGGTTTAGGTTAATACATACATAGAGTACATGAGTCACAGACAAGGATCGGAGAGGCGCCAGTTGTCTGCCTGAGATCTCACACCTCTAACCGTTAACGACCCCAAGTGACCTGAGGTCAGATCATGAGAATTTCACCTTGCTTCCGCTAAGCTTATAATTGTAGTCTGGTAGCCTTCAAACATGCCGACGTTTAAGGAGTGGCTTGGTAGTGCCGGAGGCTATCTACTTGTGGGCGGAGTTAGCTACTAGGTTCCCCAATATAAACTCGGAGAGCTATCCAGCATGAGGCATTAACAGACAGAACGGCAGTCAGGATTGCAGAAGAGACGGCCTAGCAGGAAGGCTGTCGGCCGGCAGGGCGGGAGTCTCTGTCAACTACAGACCCCCCCCCCTCTATCCAGCTATAGGCAGAGACACTTGGTGAGTGAACAGTAAGGTGACTTGTCGTGTTTTACAAGTGTTGTGTGACGATCAGGGGCAGTCAAGTTGTAGGGTTCTCGAATTCTTGGATGATGACTCACTTTGCATATTAAACTGGAACATTTTAATTGAATTGCTAAATTATGATACTTCATGTGAAATATAATTATGAATTTATTATTTAAATTGTGTTTAACTTTGTTCCCTAGAGATTTTGAGTTGAGGTGAGAAAGCCTCTGTAGTTACTGGTTTCATGGTTTAGAATGAGTACATGATAAAGATGGGAACTACTAATAATGAACTCATGATAACATCTTTTGAGAATATTTTGATACAGACAAGTTCCATTCCTTGTCTTGTATGTAATAGTCTAGAATGGATGGTGGCAGCATTTCGTCTCCTACTATCTACTCTTCTACGTCTACATTCTACCCTTCTACTACTACTTATCTACGTCTCTCCCTCCACCCCTCTCTAAACTCTCACTTTCAGCTAATGACCCTCCTCGCTCCTCCCACCTCTCTGCCTCTCACCCCAAACCCTCACTAATTACTTCACTATTCATTCCTTTCCTCTCGTTTTTCTCTTATACGTTTGTGGCAATGATTCTGTATTCTAGAGTTCTCTCTAGAGTTTCGGGTAGCTGATCCAGTTACGACGCCTTGTAGTCTTAGTACCTAGGTAGTCAAATACCTAGGTTACAAGGTGTTGAACGAGAGAGGTTGCCTTAGGAACTCTGGAGGTGCTCTAGAATAGTTAGCTAACTGGGGACGGGATAACGGACTAGAGAGAGCTGTTTCCCCCGGCCTAGTTAGTTAACTGGGGGGGGTGGAATAATGGACAAGATAGAGTTATTTCCCCCACCCCCCGTTACAACGTGAGTACTTACGAACCTGGAGCTAGATTTACGAAGCAGTTACGCGAGTACTTACGAACCAGGGGCCAGATTTACGAAGCAGTTACGCAAGTACTTACGAACGTGTACATCTTTCCTCAATCTTTGACGGCTTTGGCTACATTTATTAAACAGTTTACAAGCATGAAAACTTGCCAATCAACTGTTGTTATTGTTATAAACAGCCTCCTGGTGCTTCCGAGCTCATTAACTGTTTAATAATTGTAAACAAAGCCGCCAAAGATTGAGAAATGATAGACAGGTTCGCAAGTGCTTGCGTAACTGCTTCGTGAATCTGGCCCCATGTCTACAAGACCTGCACTAGGAGATAACAATCTCCAATCTCACCTACAACGTCGCTTGATTAATGGATTCGACCAATCGGTAATAATGACATTTTCTATGCATCTGCTTTAAAAGATTAGGAGCGTTGCTTGGGCCCGTACGATTTGGATTAGGCAAAAGTGATTAATTTTGTTTACTTGGGCAAACGGACAGAACACTGGACACGTGATCCTGTGGTCCTGGGTTCGATTTCGGGCGCCGGCGAGAAACAATGGGCAGAGTTTCTTTTCCCCCCTGAGGCTCCTGTTACCTAGCAGTAAAATAGGTACCTGGGAGTTAGTCAGCTGTCACGGGCTGCTTCCTGGGGGTGGAGGCCTGGTCGAGGACCGGGCCGCGGGGACACTAAAGCCCCGAAATCATCTCAAGATAACCTCAAGGCGGTCATACAAAGTCTACGGGACCCACTCACCGTGTTTCACTTACTCTTAAGACGTCTCTATAACACTCCTCTAGTGTTCCTCTTACGAAGAACGTCGCTTTTCGCACGTATGGGTTACATAAGTCAAACAATTTTCGTGGTAGAAAATGGAATCGGCAGGCGAAAGAGGACGTACCGTTCCCCGTTTTCTGTTTTGGGTTCTCTGGTAGGTTAGGAGAGACTACTTTAAACTGACAGTTTTCTGGACGTTGGGAAACCTTTGAAGGATACCTGGTTGATACCTGGTTGATGGGGTTCTGGGAGTTCTTCTACTCCCCAAGCCCGGCCCGAGGCCAGGCTTGACTTGTGAGAGTTTGGTCCACCAGGCTGTTGCTTGGAGCGGCCCGCAGGCCAGGCTTGACTTGTGAGAGTTTGGTCCACCAGGCTGTTGCTTGGAGCGGCCCGAGGCCAGGCTTGACTTGTGAGAGTTTGGTCCACCAGGCTGTTGCTTGGAGCGGCCCGCAGGCCAGGCTTGACTTGTGAGAGTTTGGTCCACCAGGCTGTTGCTTGGAGCGGCCCGCAGGCCAGGCTTGACTTGTGAGAGTTTGGTCCACCAGGCTGTTGCTTGGAGCGGTCCGCAGGCCAGGCTTGACTTGTGAGAGTTTGGTCCACCAGGCTGTTGCTTGGAGCGGCGCGCAGGCCAGGCTTGACTTGTGAGAGTTTGGTCCACCAGGCTGTTGCTTGAAGCGGCCCGCAGGCCAGGCTTGACTTGTGAGAGTTTGGTCCACCAGGCTGTTGCTTGGAGCGGCCCGCAGGCCAGGCTTGACTTGTGAAAGTTTGGTCCACCAGGCTGTTGCTTGGAGCGGCCCGAGGCCAGGCTTGACTTGTGAGAGTTTGGTCCACCAGGCTGTTGCTTGGAGCGGCCCGCAGGCCAGGCTTGACTTGTGAGAGTTTGGTCCACCAGGCTGTTGCTTGGAGCGGCCCGCAGGCCAGGCTTGACTTGTGAAAGTTTGGTCCACCAGGCTGTTGCTTGGAGCGGCCCGAGGCCAGGCTTGACTTGTGAGAGTTTGGTCCACCAGGCTGTTGCTTGGAGCGGCCCGCAGGCCAGGCTTGACTTGTGAGAGTTTGGTCCACCAGGCTGTTGCTTGGAGCGGCCCGCAGGCCCACATAACACAGCGGTAACCTCAAACTCAAAGCGGGTCACACAAGATGGAAGGATCTGTGCCATAGGGAAAGAGAACAGAAAAATCTGGTGCTAAAGAAGGGTTTACAGCTGCCCAAACCTGCAGCAGCTGCAGTTGACAGATGGCGCAGCTCATCTTGTGGAAGTCAATAGCCGCCAGGCAAAACAGACAAGTCTATAACAGCTGTTACTAGGGGAAAAAGACGGAGTAACGTCAGTATTTTGACGTTATTTTGACCCATTTTCCCCACACACATGACCCATTCTTCCCCACACACATGACCCATTCTTCCCCACACACATGACCCGCACTGCACCGCCAGAAAACCACACACACCTGAGACATGTGGCTACACACATGACCCCTGTGTAAGGGACTATTTCCTCCTACACTGAATATCTTCTATTATTATTATGGGGGTTCATCAATTACTGACAAGCGTGAGGGACGAGTGACGTGGACCCCAGGCCGTCAGTGACGAGTGACGTGGACCCCAGGCCGTCAGTGACGAGTGACGTGGACCCCAGGCCGTCAGTGACGAGTGACGTGGACCCCAGGCCGTCAGGGACGAGTGACGTGGACCCCAGGCCGTCAGTGACGAGTGACGTGGACCCCAGGCCGTCAGTGACGAGTGACGTGAACCCCAGGCCGTCAGGGACGAGTGACGTGGACCCCAGGCCGTCAGTGACGAGTGACGTGGACCCCAGGCCGTCAGTGACGAGTGACGTGGACCCCAGGCCGTCAGAGACGAATGACGTGGACCCCAGGCCGTCAGGGACGAATGACGTGGACCCCGGGCCACTCGTCCCCTCACAGCAACAGTAGTTCAACTTTATCCTGGCCTTGAAGACGCTACTGGGGGAGTTTCCCCTACCACCCCTTCCCTACCAGAGCCCCCTTCCTTCCCTTTCTCCCTCCTACCTTCCTTCC